ATCTCTAGTTCGTCCCCACCTAGAATATTGTTCCCAGGTGTGGAACCCCAATCGAAAGAAGGACATCGAGAAACTTGAAAAAGTACAAAAAACTTTTACACGTCTTTTGTACAGAAGAGTCACTCCTAGTAATGCCCCTCCTGCTTATGAAGTACGACTAAAAAAACTAAATCTACAAAGCCTCTCCTTTCGTCGTAATATCTCTGACCTTATTTTTTGTTTTCAAGTGCTTAGAGGAGAAACCAAGCTAAAAGCAAGTAAATACTGGATTTTTATGCCAACTAGTCAGAGATTAGGAGGCTTCAACCTTCATCATGTCAAGATTATGAGATACAATAAGGATAAAATGCATAACAATCTGTTTTGTAGGATCACACGTTGGTTTCAGCTCTTGCAAGGATTTAATTGCTTCACGCGATGCAATGCACGATCCTTTAAGGCTAAGTTGATGAAATTAACCGAAGGTGATAAATTACATTTACGTTTTTAAAAACGTATTATTTCAGCTTAAACTCCATCTTATTTGGTCAACTCTCTCATCAGTCTTCACTATATTGCGTTTGGAGTTCTGTTGTTTTAGCTACTCTGATGCCGCTTTATTATGAAGGACCGCACAAGACACACTATACGAATTTACTTACTTCTGATCTCTTACATCTCAGGTTGATTCTACCAAACGTTTTTTTTTACTCTTATCGCTAATTATGGCAGAAATTTGACTACTGTTGATCACTCAGATAATTTCAAATCATTCTGCTTATGACTGCTTAAGGAGTACTTAGGGTGAGCTCAGTGAATTAGCTTAGGCACGCATGGTTTAGCCCATTCGCCTTGCTCTCACCCTCCTACATCAACTTTGCTCAGAGCAATAGGATTTAATGCAGTATACCGAAAGCAACATCTCAGAGGAGCTAGGGTGAGCTCAACGAATTAACCGAGGTACGCATGGTTTAGCCCATTCACCTTGGTCCCACCCTTTTACATCAAATCTGGTCACTTAAATAGAGAATGTGAAAGTAACTACCTTTGATACCGTTAGTCCAACCTCACGTTCTATTCACTATCCATGTTAATGTTTTGAACAGGCAATATAGTGGTCAAATTTGGATGCTATAATTCCTATTCATTTAGTTTGGTAGTATCAAAATTGAGAACATTTTTTTAATGATGATTTTATCTGAGTTCTTTTTCTTCCTGATAACTATTGCCTAGACTTTTTGACTAGTCGATGGCGCACTTTTGGTGCAATAAATAAATAAATAAATAAATAAATAAAATGATGTTATGCTTGTGAACATCCCGAATGAAAGCATCAAAAAGCAGTTGAGGAACAGGCTTTACGATATAGAATGTCCAAAGGAGCATTGCATTGTCTGCCCATATGGGAAAATAGGTGATTGCACAAAGGCAGGAGTAGTGTACCAATTAAGTGCTTGAGCTGTAGGGCAACATATATCGGCGAAACGGATAGATTGTTGAATGTTAGACTCGAAGAGCATTTGGCAGCTAAAAGACGAGCAACTGCGATGTCACCGTTAGGAAGACATAGAATCGAAACGCACAACGGCAGTGATTTTGACGTCAAATGTACTATCTTGTCACGCGAAGCAGAGATTTCAGTGAGGAAGACTATGCGTGGATCTCTCTGAGAAATCCTAGTATGGATAATAGAAATGAATGCGTATCAATAACAGCCGAACTCTTGCCTATCTTAACGACTGTGGCTTACCCGGCTCCGCCGTATCCGGACCAAACTTGGCACACATACACTTCGGGCCCCGGCGGGTGTCACAGTCCACTTTTCGTTATCGATCGATGTCGATTTTACCGACTTTTATCGATTTTTTTGCAGAGTTCACCTACAGGGCTAGGAGTTGGCACAGGGGGGAAGTGAGCATGGGGATTCCGAATACAATATTAGTTTCCAGAATTATCGATTACTTTTATTGATTTTATCGATTTTTTGTAAATTTTGACATGCGAGGCTGGGATTTTGCACAGGGGGGGGGTAATCGAGCATGCTGATTACGAACACAATATTAGTTTTCAGGATCGTCCATTACTTTTGTCGATTTTATCGATTTTTTGTAAATTTTGACTTGCGAGCTGGAATTTTGCACAGGGGGGTAATCGAGCATGCTGATTACGAACACAATATTAGTTTTCAGGATCGTCCATTACTTTTGTCGATTTTATCGATTTTTTGAAAATTTGAGCTAGGGGGCTGGAATTTGGCACAGGGGTGTAATCGAGCATGCTGATCACCCCCCTTGGGGATGATCAGCATGCTCGATTACCCCCCTGTGCCAACTCCCAGCCCCGTAGCTCAAACTTTGCAAAAAAATCGATAAAATCGATAAAAGTAATCGATATTCCTGAAAACCAATATTGTATTCGGAATCCCCATGCTCGATTACCCCCCTGTGCCAACTCCCAGCCCCGTAGGTGAACTCAGCAAAAAAATCGATAAAAATCGATAAAATCGATATCGATCGATGACGAAAAGTAGCCTATGACACCCGCCGGGGCCCGAAGTGTATGTGTGCCAAGTTTGGTCCGGATCGGTTCAGAAATGGAATTTTCTATTCGGAACATACGTACAGACATACATACAGACAGACAGACAGACAGACAGACAGACATACAAACAGACATTCAGCTTTATATATAAGATATATATATATATATAAGCGTAGATCGCTGACCAAGACTCAGTCTAGTCCGTCTCTACCTGTGCACCTAACTTGACTCTACTGACTCTCACTAACACCGCGGTGGAAACGAGGTACGTTTCTCATCAAAGTGTCTCACTACGTTGCGTACGGGAGGGATCTAGATTCGGCAGTGCGGGGAGGCGTTTGGCGGTCTGGTCCCACTGATAAAACACTGCAATCTACTTTCAGGCCTCCGACGAAGACGATCTTGTCGAAACGTAAGGCCAATAAACATTCCACCGTACAAATCTGGCATTGGCGTAACATCATCTGACAATATTACTACCGTTCCCAAATGCCCAGGTTCAGAGAAGAGATAGCATGGAACTTAATGAATTATGATAATTTTATTCTGGTAACTTTGAATCAAAAAACAAAAACATCCTCAAGAAAGACGGAAAGAAGCTGCATCGAATGACAACTAAGTTGTTCACCGATTAATGTTCTATGAGGTTTGGCTTGACCAAAAATGAAATTCGATAGTGAATAAAAATTGCGAAAAACTTGGGCATTACAGAAGTGGAAGAGAATATTTTTATCTTGTAGGTTTTGCTCTGTAGGTCTATCTAAGTGTTACCTGGACTTCTTTGAGGAATCAGTATAAAATCTTGAAAAATAGCTAAAGTCGACACAACAAGAACATGGGTTGCAGATTTTGATATGTTTCAAGGGAGCTCACTGATTGTGCTGCAATGATTGCAAACATATAGAAAGAGGATGAAGTACTGCCAAATGCTACATAAATCTTTTAGAAATCTCTATTCCACAAAATGTAGGTTTTATTTGAAAAAGCAAAATTACTTCTGAAACGACCTAATATATCCAGTACGATCATATTTTGAGTTTGCTGACGTTCCCTGCTAGGTCGCCGCGGCTCTGCACCAAACTCGAATTTCGAATACAAATTTCATTCCAATACGAATGTGAACGAGAATTGAAAAAAAGCATCTGAATGGTATTCATTTGAATTCTAGTCTTCAATAATTTGAGTTATCGGATTTGATTCGGAACCCCTTTTCTGAATAATCGAGTTTTCAGATTTTATTCTCCAGTTTTCCATTATTTTGGTTTTTAAATTTTGAATTTTCCAATTATTCAAGGCGACTATATACGAATATTTTATTCAAACAATCGAATTTCATTCTTGGACCAAAGCATAGTCATGGTGTATCCCCCCTCCCAATCTTCCTCTACCCCTCCCTCCCCCCCCCCTCCCTTCCCCCCCCCCCCCCAGTCCCCAGTCGTACCACTTCACTAGCAAGTTTTTATGGGGCACAAGATGTGAGCGCGGCAAGCGCGGCAAACACGCCAACGTGCACGGTGGCCGGTGTGGGTTTGAGTCCATATGCAATAATATCCTTGCGGCGAGAAGAGCGACACCCGATAAAGCCGCAACGGCATTTGCTCGCGGCCGCTTCACAACGGGAAACTCCCGCAGGGATGTTAATGCATAAGGGCCTTAATGTCCTACCTTAATGTCCATTAATGGCCTACCTTTGCATTATCTTGGAATGAAGATGGGTGTGTTTTTGAAGGCGCTAAATTTTATCATTTGTGCTGTACTCGCGTTAGTGACCGTCGAATACGGACGAACTTTGAAACAGTTGCTACCTTTGATTTTCTTTGATTTAATGGGATTGAAAACTGGAAGGCGATCGCTTGCACTCGCGACGCATTTTGCTCCTCTCTGTCGCGAGCGTGCTGTTTGATCATTCCCTAGCCTTACAAGGGAAGTGTGTATAGTCGAAGTGGTCTTTTCAGATGAGACCCATACCGCTTTGAAGAGTATTGAACGGTGATTCCACATCCGCCTTCATTACCTGCCATGCGCCTCTGCCGAGTTATGGACGTTTCAGGGATCAAAAAATTGAACCCAAATTAGGGCAAAATCGCCCAAATTTGCTCAAATGGTCCAATGTCAAGCATCAGAGCTGTTTATGCAATGACATTTTGTTTAATATGCTAGTACCTAACATTGCTTTATTAAGCGCTGGAAAGATTGTAACAAATGTTTTTACCTAAATTTTGCACTCATTTTTCGCTCCAAACAATTCATAACTTGGCGTCCAGAGGCGCTTGGCAGATAATGAAGGCAGATTTGGAGCCACTGTGCAGTACTCTTCAAAGTGGTATGTGTCTCATTTAGAAACGCCACTCCGACTAGACACGCCTTCTTTGTTAGTTAAGTCCTCAAGCCCTCCCCCCCCCCCCAGCAGCCAATACCTTTGAAATACCAATCAAAGGATATTTATATTCTGTTCGATGTTTTTTGCAGTCTATACTTACCTTAGTAAAAAATTGAGCAATTTGATCTGCTTGACCAAACTGGCAGTCTGGGACTACAAGCTGAGCACCTCCAGCCTCTCCAAATCGAATGGTATCTTTACCCCAGAATCCTCCTGCATTTCCAGTGCCATACTGAAATCCGACATTGTGAGTATGTGGATTCGATTCAATGCGTTCACGTTAAGAACAGAATCCTTTTACATGGTTGGTCCAGCTTGATCCAGGCATCCGACTGTAGGTCTCCGATTTATTCGACATGAAGTAGTTTTTCGCTGCGCACGGATTCGGTTCTTTGTTTTCACCTATATACTCTTGACAGCACTTTACTTTTCTTGGACAGAAGACCCGGCATACCACTGAAATTTTATTACATTAACTCTACGAAGTTTGATGATGATATATGTAAACCTCTATGAGGAATTGTGAATTGTGAATTTGTGGAATTCAAGCGGTAGATTTGGATGTTGCACCATCAAGATAGTGATTTTTATGCAAAGCAATTGGCACGCTGAGTTGTGTATTTTCCAGCAACGAATCTCTAGAGAAACTGGGAAAATGCATAGAAGGTATGTTTACGATGGCGCGCTGTGTTGTTCATGTGTATTTGTACCTCGAAATCTACGCTGATGAGCAGAGATTGGTGAGAGTTATAAATTTAGAGTAAAGCTTGCCCCACAATGTGCAACTCAAGGTTCGGCAAGAGCTCTAGAAGCAAAAGAGCTATATACAGGGTGTCGCAAAAGTCTTATAGCCCAGTATTTTATCCCACGAAAATAGTACGGAGCAACGTAGAGATATAAAATTTGAAGCACACATTACCCAAACAATAGCAGAAGCAACACAGTACTTAAATTTTGGAAAGCAATTTTTCTTGTTGGCGGGAGCTTTTATACATTGGCGGTTGCCACTGCCATGGCACACAGTTAGTTATCATCAATTTTGTCCCACGCCTTTACGCAAATACTAAGTCATCCGGAAAGTTTTTTTTTCGCTTTTTGCACCTTTGATGTTGCTACCAGATTTTAAGAGGGTGCCAGAGGGCTGATAGGGATTGCTATATATGGGGTGGAGGACATTAGGTCGCCGAAAGAGGGCGGTCCCCGCGGTCATTTGCGACAAATACGCACCCTTGTACATACGCGGACATGCGTTCCTGCAGGGAATCCGCGCGGGACTCTTCCAAATTCGGCGACCTAATGTCCTCCACCCCTATATATGGATTTGTAGAGGAAATCTTCTAGTTTCTAAGGATCCCAATCCCACCGAAATTACAGAAAAAGCTTTGTAGGGAAATTTACGCGGCTCTAAATTTGACATACGAAAACGCGGTTTTCGAATACTTGTACTCTCAAGCTTAAACTTGAGTGTAAGACCGTTGAGGAAACCATCTTTGTGCGCAATGCATTTGCCAAGACCACGTCTTTCTTGAAGTAGGTTCAAGTTTACTTCAAAAAGTTCAGATCTAGAGAACTGAAAGCTAATATTTTGCAGTGTCTCGGAAGGTGTTCCTGCCATATAAACGTGCGACTCAGAGGGTCCTTTGAAGCAAATCGCAAATATTGCTGCGTAAAATTATCAGCAGGCCTAGAAGTGTCATACAGCCTCTTTAATAACCAACTTCGCTAAAGCTGCAATACCGAAAAATGTCAGTGACATATACCCCTCAAATTGTCGCATTCGCAGATCAAGGGCGCGTTGGCTCTGCTTTAATTTCTCAGAATTTGATGGAGCAATCCTTTTTTAGCCTGGGTTGTTAACTAGAACAAGAAGTTGATTAAGTGCGGCTACAAGAAGCGACATTGTGGTAGACCATTTGGATTAAGCATTGAAAGCGCTGCCAGAACAGTCATTCCAAAAGGTTGAAGTACTCATAATGTTATCCTGTTGGTCCTGTACGCTATAAACTCGCTAAGATGCGATTGTACTTTAAGAGCAGAGTAGTGTGATATCCCTTGAAAAATCGTTTGTCAAAATTTCAAAAGTGAGCGGACTTGCACGTCTAAGCTATGCGAGCTGCCATCCACGCCCATGACTCTGCCAAACCACATGTAAGAAAAGTGGCTCTCACACAAGGGGTTGACTGCTCACCGAGGTTCCTGCTTATTTCTCAAACTCTTTAAACTTTCCTTTAGCAATCACCAAATTTTATAATTCCTCGGTGCCTATTGAAAAATAATAGGACCTACTAAAGATTAGCTAGTCAAAAACGCCTAGGCTTTATTGATTCCTCTGAGATTATTTCGCAAAAATAAAGTACAAGAGAACTACATGAGTGTTGCCAGGAATTTGCTGAACACATTGCAATTTTTAGGTTGGAAACTAAGTTTTGCAACTTATTCAATGGCCCGTAGTAAACCCCCTCTCAGCCATAGGTGCGATAGGGGGAGCCGGGCTCTCCCCAGGTGAAGGGGGTCTCGGCTGTTCCCGACCTTCCAGGGTGAAGGGGGTATGTGAGTCTAGGGGAGGGGAGGAAGAGAGAAAAGGTAAGAAAGCGTGGTATGAAAAGCGTTAATTTGTACCTTATTTTGGGCACAAATTGAAAAAAAATTTAAAAGTTTTCAAAAGAAATTTAAAAAATTTTAAAAAATTTATTATGAAGATCTGTGCTCCTGTTTCACTGCATCAGCAAAAAACCAAAGCAATAAGGTTTATCCTAAAAGATGTACAAGTTAGGAACAACTTCATTTCCTGCGCATCATCATCAACAATATCACTGTCGCTAACTTCAGAGACAACAAGTTCGGTGCCTGAAAAATCTTCTTCTTCCTCCAAAAGATCATCGGAGTAGAAGTAGAATTGCGTGCAAAAGCGTTCTAAGTTTAAAATGGATTTGATACTTTCTTCTCTTCTAAGCACTTTTGTGATTTTTTTCCTGGCCCTCTGGTAGCACCAGGAAGTCAGCAGGTAGGTGACCAGTTTCTTCATACCATCTTTTAGGATACTTCAAAATGTCATACGGTAACAGCCTGTCTGGACCACTTACACCAATCCTTTGAAAGTTTTTAGATAACAATGTGTTTAGTAGAAGGTTGACAAATCTTAAGTATTTGCTTAGATGCTCTATCGTTGTACGAGTTCTGCGTTGTGTTCTGATAACAGAATAGATGAAAAATTTCTTTCTTCACCTCTGCCGTGCTAGTCGGAATGGAAAATAGCTTTGCTAGTAAGTCCATCAGATTTTTGCGGTAAGTAATGGGAAAAGAGCCAGATCGCATATGCTTTCGCAACACGAGAAGGAAATAATGCATACTTGGGCCTTGTCGAACTTTGGCTTTACCTCCTCTGGCATACGTCCTGCTAACTGACGAGAAAGCTGCTCAACTTCTTTTTTAACAGCATCTGCGGAATAGCCGAAAAAAGTAGATACTATGCTGCGCGTTGGTTTTTTTTTCAATATCATAGGTCATAATGTCACAAGGCGAATAACTTCAAAAAGCATAAAGCACAGAGTTGGGTTCGCACTCCAGCCGGGATCTAAGTGCAGTAACTATGCATTTTACTAACACCTTCCTTTTGTTCATATCCATGTTTGTGAATTTAGCAGCCTTGAATTCTTCAGCAACCTGAAGATCAGCAATGGACTTCCTGGACATTTCCTCACTGAAACTAGATAATCTGCTTGGATTCCTTATGCAGGAAATCAGAGAGTTTCGCTCAATTGTCAACACTGTGTCAACGTCGACAACATTTTCGTCGGCGTAAGATTCTCCTTCTGCCTCGCTATTGAACTGGAACACATGCGATTCATCTGCAATTTTGTAAAGTATTCTGCCTGCCGTTTCCTCTTCAAACTGCCAACCTTTCCAAAACATTGAAGGATATTTTAATAACATGTTATTCTTCTGAATGTCTTAGAGTTTTTGATTCATTGAAACCAACCATTCTCTACAAATTAGGTAAGGTGAGTCTAGAGCGTTTTCATGAAAGTGACCTTCTTCAGCACTAGGTTTACAGAGTCTAGATTCCAGAAGTGGGCGGGTTTTTGTGTGAAGGTGTGGAAATTTACCAATCTCCCATAGTTTTTTGAGCGTGAATGGGGGGAGCGTGAGCATAACTGTCAATCAAAAGCGCATTTTTTACCAAAAAAACATAAACATACAACAACGATAAGCACGCTTGAATAGATGCGTTAGCTCACGTTCCCGTCAGTGCTGATGACGATGTCAATCCACAGCACATTTTTTACTATTAACTTGCTCCACCTCACTCTTATTAGGTCGTCCAGAAAGTTTTTGCACATGAATTTCAAAATTCATAACTTCTGATTTTTCCAACCGATTTGACTGCTTTCACTTTTTTGTGAAAGGGTAAGTCATGCTCTTTATAATGACTTCTCAGCTGCTTAGTAATGGTCATCTGTTGCATAGATAAGAGCGATAGAAGAAAAATGGTAGAAATTTTAATTTCCTGTGTAGGGTCATAAAAAATCGGAGACTTGCAACAAAAATCGGAGCAGTCGGTATTGTGGGGTTTTTTTCACCAGCTCTTTCTAACAGTGCAAAGTTTGCGCCGACTGAGCGTCTCCATGAAAATTCATGATTTCCCTGAAAAATGGCAAAATAAATCAAATTCGCCTTTTGTATTGCTTGCTCGAAAACCGTAACTTTTCATAAAGACGCTCAATCGGCGCAAACTTTGCACTGTCAGAAAGAGCTGGTGAAAAAACCCACAATACCGACTGCTCCGATTTTTGTTGCAAGTTTCTAATTTTTTATGACCCTACACAAAAATTCAAATTTTGAGTGATTTTGGTTTTGAGCTTCTATCTATGTAACAGATGAACATTACTGAGCATTTGAGATGTCATTGTAAAGAGCATGACTTACCCTTTCATATAAAAATGAAAGCAGTCAAATCGGTTGGAAAAATCAGAAGTTATGAATTTTTGAAAATCGTGCGCAAAAACTTTCGGGACGATCTTTACAGTGTGTTGGCTTTTACGGGTCACCGGAGCAAATGATTTTTAGAGCCGGGAAGCAAAGAAGCCCTAACATTCCTGTATACCATTCGAAAGCTGAGATCATGGAGAATCGACGTAGACCGTCGACTTTTTTCTAGGTCTTCTGTGCCGCGAGATATGAGGGATTTTATGTGCTTCAAAAATTAACTGATTTTGTGTCCTCACTTTCTGCTCTCCAAATGAATGCTACGAGAAAGTCGACGGTTTACGTTTGTTAATGAAGACTTGCTCTTTAACATAGATAGATAATCAGCAGTGATTAAGTCTTCATTTGGCAAAATCTGCTGTTGAAAATGACCATGTTTTCAGATAAAATGCGGTGTATCTCTCGGTAGAGGGGGGCTAGGAAGAAGTCGACGGTCTAGGTCAAATCCACTTTTCCTGAGCTTTCGAATG